ATCTGCTCACCTGGATAATTCTGTGGCTTTTTCTAATGTGTACTTCCACAGCTGAAGTGACCCCAATGCCTTGTGTATATGTAGTGCCAAATAAAAATCTTACCTCTCTGCTATTGACTTCTCCTTTAGCCCAGGTTCTCTTTACATGTTTGGTGACTCATCTTAGTCTAATGAATAACCAAACAGCATCATCATTAATATTTAAGAGTCATTTTAAAGAATACTCACCAAAATAAACTAAGTAAGGATGAAATTGGATTATACACCCTCTTTCCTTCAGGTGTATACTTTTTGAAATGCATTTTCTTATAGATCCTAGACAGCCACTCATATCTGGTGGATTCTTCAAAGTCCTACTGCCTCCTCCAGAGAATAGTAAGGTGGGGGCGGGGGGGCGGTTCTTCCTGAGAAGTCAATACTATGGTATTCTATTAAATGACTTTTAGAACCATCATTTTTAAATCCACACTACCAAAACCATTTAGTATTGGAAATGGGCCATGAGTGCTTCTTCAGTCCTGCTCAGCTTCTATCCCACTCTACCCTTGTTCTTCAGATGAGGAAACTGAGCCAGATACATTGCATAACCAAAGAAATGTTAGTGGTAAAATCAAGGATTATCAGGGTGACCAATGTCCAGACACATCATTTTGCCTTTTAAATTGAATTTAAATTATTTTTTAAAATAGGAAATGGAATTATTAGCAACAAACACTACAACATTTTTAGTTATGTGTATTTGATATATTTTTAAAGCACTATATTCATTATTCATCTTTACGCAATCAATATTCTGCTTTTGAAAATTCTACCTGACCACAAGGTGGCAGCAATGCAACCCACTACAAGGAGACTCGGGGATGAATACAAAAGACCTGTGCAGTTTTCTTTGTATACTAGCCAGATTCTGCTTATTAATCAGTCTATAGCTATTTGCAATATTTCTGAAACACATTCTCCCTTCATGATTTAGTCACGAACTTGGGTTATGTTCTGTGAAAATTTTTTGAGATAGGTATTATGTAAGAGCATTGTTATTGTAATACAAAAGTATAATGTTATTCATCATAAACACTCAAAGAACATTTTCCTCTATGAAGTGGCCACAGAAGGGTATGAAATAAAGAAATAGATAAGGGTAAGCCCACAAGTCTACAGACAGCTAATCAGTGGGGTCTTTGGCATGTGGAATAAAAACTTTAGATACTTTTTCCTAAAATGGGGATTAGAGATCTACTTGTCTGTGCATTTATAAGGATATGTAAAATATAGATATCACGTCTGACAAATAAGAGAAAAAACAATGAGTATAGGACTAAATAATAACACCGTAATAATTATAGTAGCTAATGTTCATCGAACACTTTCTACCTAGCCATAGGCACTTGTTACCATTTAATCCTCCCAACATACTTCAAAGTAGATTCTATGATATCCCTACTTTATAGACAAGAATTTGAACTATTGATAGGTAGTCAAGTGACAACTAGTAAGAAGAGAATCAGGGTCCAAGCCTGGTATTCTGACTCTGGAGTCCAAATATATCTCTGTCATCAAAGCCGAGCTTTTATTTAAGGCCTTGTCCTTCCCTGGCTGCTGTGGCTAAGTGGATTGAGCACCAGCCTGTGAACCAAAGGGTCACTGGTTTGATTCCCAGTCAAGGTACATGCCTGCGTTGTGGGCCAGGTCCCCAGTAGAGGGCGTGCTAGAGGCAACTACACATTGATGTTTCCCTCTCTTTTTCCCTCCTTTCCCTTCTCTCTAAAAATGAATAATTAAATCTTTTTTTTTAAAGACTTTGTTCTGATTAGTCATGGGTGTATATCTCCCCACACACGTTACATTTATGTCAAAGAATTAGTACATGTGAATATTTTCATGTTTTAAATACCTCTATTCAAATCAGAACATCCTCATTAAATAAACAGTGTTTAGAATAAATATGCTTAAATTAGTAAGACTGCCATCTGTTCTGCACTGTAGCTTTTGAATATAGGCTTAAGCTATGAAATGCACGAAATATTCATGCACAGGTTATATTGCACCCAGTGATTAGGAACATAGAATCTGAGTCAGAGTGACTGAGATTAGAATTCCGGTGTACTATTTACTGGCTAAATAACCTTAGGCAAGTGACCTACACTCCATGAACCTTAATTTCTTCATCTGGAAATTAAGGGTAACAACTGTTTCTCCCTAAGGGGCTACTTTGGGAATTAGTCACTAATTTAGGAGAAAGTATGTGTAGGTGGTGAAGCCATGAGTTCTCTAACCAGGCTGACTTGTTGTGTGACTTGGGCAACTACATGACTACTGTTTCTCGGTTACTTTATCTGAGAATGAGCATGATAGTAAAAAGCACTTCTCTTACAGGAGGATGGGGAGATTGACTGAGATACTACATACAAAATAGTCAGAGCAGCACCTGCACTGGTGAGTGTTTGATCAGTTTAGTTCTCCCTATCACCTCATTCAACAAATACTTAGTGCCTACTAAAATAAGGCACTGAGATAGATGTGGGGGTACACTAGTGAATAATGCAGAGATGATTCCTACCCTCACTGCACGATCTACTGGAGGAAACAAACAAGCAAATATATTTTAAAATATGAGTTGTGATGATGAGTACCCTAAAGGAAACCACTAGAGACTGTAATGGAGAATAGCCAAGGTATATTTACAATTCTGGATAAGATGGAGAATGAATATGTATATGTAGAGAATGGCAGGATATATCTAGAATTGGGCGTAAGGAGGCAAGGGAAGGGATAAAGTGAGGATTGGTGGAAGACTGAAAAAAAGTCATTTTAGCATATGATTTCCTCCTTCATTTTATGCTGCTAGACACCTTAGCAGAAGGCTGGAGAGGGTGACACAGATGGTCTCTGGGTTGGGAGTTGTCATACATAATATATTAAAAATAGGGAGTGTAAATGAACATATGTTTACTGCATGTCAACTTCTGAGACTCGTAGCTCTCTCTTTGCTTCCTGTCTCCCAGAACACTGGCAGCCTAGGCCTTTATATCTCTGGGCGGGAGACTGAAAGTTTTCCCTAGTACTCTTTCTAGTGCAAGAGGAGATACTTGAAGATAGCGATATTGGGAAGTACTCCCCCACCCCTCCAAATGGCCTAGTCATGCTCAAAATCAAAAAACTGCATCCACATGCTGAGAACTGTAAGTAAACATTTTTTATGAGTAAACAAAATTTTTTTACTCTTTATCATGAAATATAAAGGATGGTCTGACTCCTGGGACAGAGACCAAAACAAAGAGGAAAAGTGGCAAACTACGAAGATACCACAGGCAGGGAGATGATATTGTATCCATTAAATAATATACAATAATATTTTTTAAAAAACAGAGAATATCATAGAAAGTGTTCTTAACAATTTAAAAACACAATACCAGATATTTAGAACTCAAGAGATGGGTTATTGAATAAAGTTGAAGAGTTATTCCTGGAAGTAATATAAAAAACCTAAACAAACAAAAACAAAAAATGGGAAACAGAGAAAAGATCCAATATTTAAATAATGGAAATTCTGATATAATGGATCAAAGAAAAGGGAAAAAAATTATCAGTGAAATAATTAAAGGAAATTTCCTAGAATTAAGGGATACAAATCCCAGATTTTAAGGGGCCCAGAAAAGAGATAATGCAGTGGATAAGAAGAGGATCACACCAAGACTAATCACTGTAAAATTTCAGAACTCTAGGACCAGTGGTCTACCAGCTTACAGAGAGAGGGGAAAAAAAGGCAGCATACAAAAGATCAGTAATTAGGTCAAATTCAGACTTCTCTATGGCTAGTGGGCCATAGATAAATGTTTTCCAAATACTAAAGAAAAATTACTTTCAACATAGAATTCTATACCCAGCCAAATTATGAACGGAGCATGAGGATGAAATGAAAACATTTTTAGACAAATAAGGCCCCAAACTTTTCTTATGTTCAGTAAGCCATTAGAGGATCACTCCACAATAACAAGGACAGAAGTCAGGAGAATTAGCCCAGGGAAGGATCAAATGAAGCATCCAAAATGACAATACAGATTCCAAGATGACAACTGTGCACCAGGGGTATAGGGCAACCAAACCAGACACCAAAAAAGGGACATATCTACACTGTCTTCCCTCATCATATCTCCTGTCATCAAGACTTTATTTTAACTTTTGGGTTACTGGAGGGTGTGCCCTAAAGAAATAAAGGAGAGAAAAGAAGAAGGCAGAAGATGGCATCCAGGAGACCAGACTCCAACTTAAGGGAAAAGCATCCCTGGGATGGCAGTGAAGGGCGGTATGATGCTGGCAACGGTTCGGAACACCCAGAGGGTGTTACACAGGAAATGAAAGGCTCTGGCCAAATATCTCCAAGAAATTAATGGAAATGATAGATTACTGTATCATTGATTCTGTGGATAATTATGTCAGGAGGCTGTTGGATAGTGGGGGAAGGTTTAAGAATAACAAGGCAAATGAAAAAAAACAATTACTAACTTTGAAGAGGAAAAGTGAGAAAAGAAATATCAAAGCATACTACAAGCACAGTTCATAACAATAGCATGGGGACACTAATGTAATCACTAAATAGTGATTTAGCCAAAAATTTTAATATAACTGTGTCAGGAGTTTAGGGGAACAGGAAGCAGGGAGGATGGCTATGTATGAGCTAAATTCTTATTACTATAATAATAAGCCCATAAAACTAAAATTAGTGAATCAAAGTAAGCCATTTTTATATATCTTATAGAAACATGAAGATGTGAAAGTCCTAAAGAAAGAGCTAAAAGGGTTAAAAACAAAATTGCATCTTAGGAGTTACTGTGGAGAGGTTAGGCAATCACTGTATTTTGTTTTAAACTTTTTAATATAATTTGACATTTTTAAACTATAGGTTTGTCTAACTTTGATAAAAAGGGACTTGAAAAGCATCTAACATAATGTCTGGCAAGCAGATATGATTAATAACAGTAATAGCAAACTGATCACATTACTTTTATATCTTGTTTTTTCTCAGCCCAAGGAAACCGTGACATGAAATCATCCAATGTGTCCACAACAGCATCAACTTGACATTGTTCCAGTTCTGTTTTTCCAGCCAAATCTGTGAAATAGAGAGAGACCATTTGATATCCAAAAATACTTTCAATTTATTATATTAAAACATTAATTTTTAAGTACATAATATATTCATATAGCTCAAAAATTGAAAACAATATGAAGCAGCATACAATGAAGACTAACTTCCACTCTTGCCCCTAGCCACCTCATTTTACTCCTACTCGCTACCATATTTTGTTAGTTTCCTTTGTATCCTTTCATTGTTCCTTTATGAAAATAAGAATAAAGTCCCACTCACTAAGCACCTCTCCCATTTGTCCTAGAGATGTTTTTTTTCTTACAAGTCACTTAAGGGCATCCTTACTATTTTACCCGCTCCATGGAATTCCCTTAAATAGAGGTGCTACACTTTATTTACCCTCCACTGATTATGTTTGCTTCCAATCTTTTGCAAAAACAAGAAATACCAGAATAAATAACCTGTACATATATTTTCATTTATTTTGTAAAAAAGAATTATTGTCATCTTTGCAGACAATTTTTATCAAGAGCATTTGTCTCCAGAAACTATAAGTTTAAAATAACAGAGGTGGGTATTTTTTTCTTACTTGCCATTCATTGATCATTTTGCTAAGAAATCATTGGTCTTCCTAAATAGTTTCTCACTGGTGTCCATTTAAAATTCTCCAGTGTGGAATCATTTAAAATAGATTGCTGTGATACAATTGTGTATATTTACTAAAAATCAAGGAATTGTATACTGACAATCAGTGAATTATATATAAATCACACCTCAGCAAAGCTGTTAAAGAAATGCTTTAGTGTTTTAGAGTCCTCCTATAAACTCTCTTTATTTTGGGTGTGTGATATTCTGAGGCTGGTCTTTCTGACCTCCAAAAGTCCTTCCAAAAATATCATAGATCCTCTTCACCCATTTTCATCCCTACTTTGACTTTCATGCTGAAGTCTTGGCTATCTGTTTTATACAGACGACTCCTTATCAACACTTTTAGTCCTAAAGCGCAGGCCCATAGGCTCAGCTTCCTTTTGGATAGTGTGCTGTGTATACCCTTTTGACCCCCGAACTTCCTTCAACAAGTCCCAAAATGGGGTCATCACATCCTACCTCAAACTAGCTCTTCCTTCTTCGTTCATTCAACAAAACATTACTGGGCTCCAACTGTAGATCACCCCCAACTGGGGCTACAGCAGTGAATAAAAGAGATAAATTCCTTGTCTGCATGTCCTCATGACTGACTAGAGAAGACAGGTATCAAAACGGGTATTACTAGTCAAAAAAATTCCTTCCTTCCTTCCATCCTTCCTTCCTTCCTTCCTGGGAAGAAGAGAGGGAGAAGGAGAAGAAGGAGGAGGTAGGAGAATGACAAACCATGTCCAAGGTATTGTATGCCTGGGCTTTACTCTCTTGTAGAAATAGAATGTCCTCCACATGCCAGTATCTATCTTCTAGCCCATATAATGATTCTGTCCCCACAACATTTCTTGTTTTTCCTCACTCCTTCTTCTTTCCTGTTGTATGAACTATCTTAATGACATCCAAATGTGCATCCCTCAGTCATGCCAGTCAAACACAAAGTATGGCCAGAATAATCTTTCCAAACCACAACTATAGTTATATAGCTTCTTGGATAAAAACCTACGAATGAAGTCAGGCAGAGAAAGATAAATACTGTATGATCTCACTTACATGTAGAACCTAAAAAACGAAACAAAACAAAACTAAACTAAACTAAATACCCCCATTCATCAATACAGAGAACAGATTGGTTATTGCCAGAAGCATGAGGGTAGGGGACAGTGTGGAATGGGTGAAATGGGTAAAAGTCATCAAAAGTACAAAGTTCCAGTTGTAAGATAAATAAGTCCTGGATATATAGTATACAACATGTTGACTAGAGTTAATAATACTGTATTATATAGTTGATAATTGATAAGAGAATACAGCTTAAAAGTGCTCATCACAAGAAATATTTGTAACTATGTGTAGTAATGGATGTTAACTATATTTATCATGGTGATCATTTACCAATATATAAGTTTATAGAATCATTATGTTGTCTCCCTGAAACTAATATAATGTTAAGTGTCAGTTATGTCTCAATTTTAAAAACCTATGACTGCTTAAAAAATTATATCCATACTCTGAATCTTTCTTACCAGATTTCAATCTATTTTTACTATTCTTTCTGCAAATTTTAAGTGCTCTTTGTCTCATGCCATTTTCTCTGTGCCTGGAATGTTCTAACCCAGAAATTCTCAAAGTGAAGTCCTTGACCAGCTGCATGCATCAGCATCACTGAGAAAATTGTTAAGAATGCAGATTTTTTGGCCCTACCCCAGAACTATTGAATCACAACCTCTGAAGAAACATTGAACTTTCTGTGTTTTAAGAGCCTCCAGGTTATCCTGAGGCATATAAATTTTGAGAAACACTGCCCAAGCCCAAGTATTCCTTTTGAAATTCTAGGTATATTTTAAGCTAAATCAAATGTCATTTTCACTTCAAAGTCAAATTTCCATAAAATCAGAAGTAATCTCCATATTTTTTAAACTTCTAAAGAATTTCATTTGTTGAAATATGTGTTAGTGCATAGAAATTTTATATTTTTAACATGTACATATTACTTTGGTTCAGAAATAAAGGCCTAATTATTGTGACCTATTTTATTTGTGAGCTAAACATGTGTCTATGGTTTGGATCATAGAGGTTGTGGCAGGGGTGGAGAGTTATAGTTTTGGAATCAGGGCATCGTGATTCTGCAGATTGATTAGACAAAAAAAGATTTTAAAAGAAGCCAAATGCAGCATTTTACTCAAAAAATAAATGTTAGGGCATTATGAGGGGAGAGAGAAGACAAAAGACTCTAGGATGGGTGAAAGAGCTTCAGGCTAAGACAAGAACTACCAGTTTTATTTCTCTTTATCAACGCCATGGGTGTAGGTGCTAACAAACCAATCCAGAAGTCAACTACCCACTAGGATGCCTCAGATGGCACTCAGTGGAAGCAAAGAAAACAGCCTTTTCCATTTTTGCAGTGTGATTAGGGTGAAGAACCTTGAGTACACGATTTAAATAGTCTAACGAAATTTCAAACTTCCTATGCCATATATATTTCCTGTTAATCATCTCCGATAACTTACAATACATATGCTAGCAAGAGTGGTTTCAGACATACTTGTCCAATTTTTCAGCTAACTTCCAATAAGAATTTGGGAGCAAGGAGGTGTAGGGCAGGAAGGGTAGTAGGTGATATAAAATAAAAGTAATTGTCTCGGAAACTCACAGAAACTTAAATCAGGACAGATACCCAAGATGGCAGAAGAGTATATAAGTTTATAGAATCATTATGTTGTCTCCCTGAAACTAATATAATGTTAAATGTCAGTTATGTCTCAATTTTAAAAACCTATGACTGCTTAAAAAATTATATCCATACTCTGACTCTTTCTTACCAGATTCCAATCTATTTTTACTATTCTTTCTGCAAATTTTAAGTGTTCTTTGTCTCATACCATTTTCTCTGTGCCTGGAATGTTCTAACCCAGAAATTCTCAAAGTGAAGTCCTTGACCACTTTGGAAATTGGTCAAGGTATTGTATTGTATTGGACATGGAAAGAAAATTACACTAACCTTTTCCCAGGACCAGTTGTAATATGGAATTATAATTAAGTTGCAGAGAAAGCCTGCTGAATAACCAACTGAATAAGGCTGGAGAGAAGCCTTATAATCAAGGACAGACAGAAGAAACATAACAGTGTCTTCTCACTTAGTCTTTAAGACCTGCTTTGGACTAAGTAGGCACTCAAGGTCACATTAATTTCAAAGACACTATGATGCTTTCCCAGAAGCCCACATTTCAAAAACAACTCCTAATAAGGTAAACTCTGCTAGTCAAGAGCCTGATGGTTAGAATTAGGTGTTAAAATATAGCATTAGGTGGCCTAAAAGAAAAGGAAAAGAAATAGATGGGTCTAAATGAAAGTCATGGAAAGGAAAATGGGAAGCAGAAGGAGAAGAGCGGGAAATAAAGGTTTAGGAGAAACTTAGAAGGACATCTGGAAAGAAAGAAGAAAAAAAAGCTTCAATACAATCTCAAGGACAGAAACTGAGATGACAAAAAAGTAAAATTGACAAGTAGATTCACAGGTCTGCAAGAAGATCCACAAGAATATATATGGTTTAGACTTTAAAGAATAAGGACAAGAAGAGCTGAATTGGTCTTGTTTTATTAAATGAGATTTACTTTATACATTCATAGGGATTGTGTAGAATAGCATATATGCTCTCTATTTAGAAATATGGCAATTGTTATGTTTGAATTTTAAGTGGATTTTTACTATTTGTTAGGTTAATAGATTAGTGATAGAATTTAATGAGTTTTAATTTAACAATTTTTATTTAAAAATAAGATAGAGAAGCTTCTGGAAGATCTCACAGGGACAAAAAATGCTGAAGGGATATTTTAGTGGCCAGGGGCTTCCCCCTGAGAAATGTGGGACCTAAACCACAAAGCTGGGCCCCCCAGCCTACAGCACCAGAGCAGGGAACGGAACTCAGATACCATCCAGCTATGAAAGACAGCAGGGTTTCTGCCTGCAGGAAGAGATGGCTAGGGACTAAGAGAGCCTCTAAAAAGGCCAATGCACAAAATTTTATTTCCAGCCACTTATCTTGGGTTCTGCCAGAGGGAGGGCAGAATGGACTAGAGACGTGTGAGGAGGGTCTGGGGCTCCTGGCTCTGGAGAGAGAACTGAGGGAGCAGTCACCAGGATCTCTGTGCTGAGTCCTTCCCCATACTGCAGAAGCCATCTTTCTCTGGTAGAGCATTCCCCTCCAAGTGACATTAGCCTGAGGGGAAGCAATAGTCTCTCCTGCAAGAATTATTCTGCCCCACCCTGTGGAGCTTAAATAAGGCTGCTGATTACAGCTTGAGGCTATATCACTGATTAAATTTAACAACTGAGTTGGATCTCTGAGACTTTAGCTGATCCTTCCCTGGGCCAGGTGCTGATAAAAGCCA